AACAAAATAGTGAGTGGGCGAGCACGTTTTGACACCCCCATCTTTGACGATTTTTAATGTTTTTTTTGGCTTAGCAGAATGGCTTCAAAATTTATTGGCGTGTAGGTTACATCATAGAGAACGCACAAAAAAAACGTCAGAAAAAAAACTTATTTTTAGGCCCCGAAATTATTTTTGGCGGGGGCCGAACCTGGAGGTGTTCGGCCCCCGAACGGGACCCCGAACGCCCGAACGTTCGGAGGCCAGCCCGGGGGCCCCCGAACGTTCGGTCAGGTAACCCTGGCTACACCAACAAGAACAGATACGACCTACAAAAGCACGGCCCATACAGATTTTCACCACGGGAGCAAGGGTTTAGGGTTTTAGTAAGGAACACAGCAAGTACAGCCCCACAGAGCACGGCCCATATAGACTTTTACCATAGGAGGAAGCATCAGCAGTTCCAGCACTAAAAAGTCCAGAAACACGGACAGAGGCAGAGGGAGAGTAAGGGACTAGGGTTTAGCGTGCAGGGCATAGGCCTTAGAAGCTATCTACAACTTCAGACTAACGGAAATTTCAAACATCATCAAATGCCGGAACACTTCTATCTACTTAGTGAAACCAACAGCATATGAGGCTGGACAGTACAGTTACTTCAGTACTTAAATCTGGTCCGACAGCCGAACAGCTGAGAGGAGTAAGCTAGTCAAGTCCTACGCAGATACACCACATGCCACAAACAGAAGTAGCAGAAGCCAGCCTACCTAGAGGTTCTGAGTTTTGTATATAACAAAAAAAAAAAAAAAAAAAAAATCTCGAACTTTAAAATGTGCCCTTGCTGTGGTGCACCTGGACAGGTGAAAAACGAAAAGATAGGCTCGCCCTGACAGGCAGAGATCAAGGTGCAAGATCTGTCTGCAATCAAGACCTCTATGTCCCTTCTTACTCCACCTGTACTGCCTGCAGGTCAGCTGCTGAAAGTGTCAGACCCTGCCACTGGGCAGCACAGACTGAACTGCAATGCATGGCCAGGCTGTCAGCGTCGGACTTGCACCAGAATCACGATACCTTCTTCACCCGAATAAAAAGCCCGGTCATTATCACTGCATCTAGAGTGAAAATTGCCCCCAAGTACAGCTGCAATGACCGGCGATTCTGTTTGGGTGAAGACGGTAGTCTCTATACATGCATGCAAAGCATTCACTCGGCCTGCAGGAAGCAGTCCCTTCAGCTGGCCGTGTCAGAAAATGGCCCCTGTTCGGTAAAGACTGTGTGTACCTGCCCTGTGGCTGACTGGTACACACACGTAACCGTTGACAAACAGATCATGAGTTTGAATCATAATGGAAAATGGCAGCGTGATAGACCTGACCGCCCAATTTACTGACCTGATCCACCCCCTTGGCTCTGTGTGGCACAGTTGAGATTTGTTTCTCCTCGGCAGGTTTGCTCTCCTTGAAACCAGTCATGTTTTGCGTCGCATTTCGGGAGTTGTCAGTCGCCTTGGAATTTTCAGAGTTGCTGTACACTCCACAGTTTTGTGGAGCGCTGCCGCTGCATGATGGTCCCATGGAGGAAGAGGAAAGGGTTGTGCGAACCTTGTCAACGAGCTCGTCGACATCTCCCGGCACCTCATTGGGATTGATAGTGCCAGCTCTAAGGCCCTGAAGAGTTCTGTCTGCCAAGAGGGAAGAAGAGGGACGAGGAAGACAATGCATGGGAATCCAAAGAAGGGATCAGTGATTGTTTTCCTTTTCTCTCACAATCACGTAGGTTCCAGGTAACAAAAAATTTGATGCTCCATATCACATTTGCCTGCCTAGACAGCAGAGCGACGATAATGCAACGCGAGCATTTTGGTGAACAGTTGCACTTCAGAATCTGTAGCTGCAGACGAAAGAAAGGAATCAAAAAGATCTGACTCATCTTAGCTTGATGTCTTTTTTTTTTTTTTTTTTTAGTACGTCGGAAAGGTAAAGTAGGCTACCCCGACAAACCGCTGCAGGGAGAGTAGTCCACCTTTATAAGGACCCTTTATTATTTTGAATATCGAACTGTTTTACCCGAACATGTCCTTGAGCACAGCGGCGGCCTCGGTCTTGTTATCAACCATAGCTCGACACAAGATTTGCAGCATGTGCCCTGGGAACAGCGCAATTGCAGACCTCACAAACAGAATCTTGTTGACAATCCTTTCAATTGCAGCCATGGGATGACAGACCCTTTCACTTAGCTGGCAGGGAAAGTCGTTAGGTACCGAGACTATCCTCGTGTTATCATGCTCTTCAACACTGGCCCTAGCCGCTACTACGTAGTGGCTTATCGCCGGCAGGTAATCGTATTTAAGGAAGGTTTGTTTCATCTTGGCAAAACCACGATCCCTACGAATGGTCCTACACTGCGCACGTACCCCGTGAGGGTTAGAAAACCGGACGTCTTCACCCGTCTCCATAACAGGAACCTGGATGAGCTTATCGATTAACTCGTGTAATTCCGGGTATCTTGTGCCTGCCACACGTAACACTCTGAGGGATTCCTGCAAGTCATTGTGCACAACAGATGCTGAGAGGCCCAGAAGTCCACTTAAAGACAAGCCTCCAAAGTGGAACGGGAGAAAGGCATTGAGGACTGACTGAGTCTCGACACTTCGCTCCAATTCCCTCCAGCGCCGAATAACCAATGCACAGTTCATTGCATACAGAGCGTAAACGGCGCTGAGGGTTGCACCCGCAGTGAATGCCCCTCTTGCAGTGGATGCCACTAACTCTAAGTCGGAAGCGATGCTGGGGCAAATGTCTCCTGGACCAGACCTATTTGAGATTCGAAGGGCAGCCTTCAGGCCAGGGGTAACACTGTGACCAAACAGCCGGACCTCGTTGCGGAACATGCAAAGCTCTCCAGAGATGAATGTTCTGTCCCATCTTAGCTGCATGCTTCCCGCGCGGTAGATTTCTTCGATCCGATTTCGCAGCCGAGCTACGTAAGTGGGAGTAGCATTCTCTGGCACCAATAGACGCAGCAACCCCTCATCAATTAGTGCGGCAAAATGCGCATCAGATTCTCTGTCAATAAGCCCGTCTTTATGCAATGTGTCGATAGTGTACCCCATCACAGCACAATGGTACATGGTGTTGCGCCTGCCAAAGAATCCCTCGAAATCAATCCCAACTTTGTCAACGGTGTGATGGAAGTTACCCTTAATATAGTGAATTTTCCCTTCGGTCAACACCTTGCTACAGTGCATGAGGTGTGGCATGCCATATGCCTCAGCCCATTGTTCATCGATAGCTTTGCTCACAGACAGGTGAAAAGCGGGTGAAAATTTCTCTATGTCGAACGAAACGTACAAGGGTTTGAACAACCCTGTTCTCGGCATTGGCGCACTTGCTGCATCCACCCATTTCTTCAGATCGTTGGCAGTGAGCCCGACAGTTGCCCCAGGGAAGAATTTTGCATACTCCAAATTGCTGTCCTCGTACTCGGAGAGGAGCAAACTGACATCAGTCCCAGCTTCGAAAAACCACCTCCCGTCGGGTTTGTCATCAGCCTTAACGTTGTAATGAAACCAGTAGGGATTGGCTGCCAAGTCACTCAAGTCTGGCAAAGACTCGCGTGATAACACATCCATCAACTGGGACCTGTCACGCGACCTTCTCTTTGCAAGTGCCGGAGCATTCGGGAATCCATCAACCACAGGCGGGCAAATGTCTTTGTCCTCGACAAAATCCAGACAGTCTTTCCGTCGCGAGTTGAACACGAAATGACCCGAGAAATTCACCACCCCGACTTCATGAAAAGGAACTCTTCGGGGATCAACATAGGGATAACCCTCAGTCCAATCCTGTTTCTCAGACCCTTCAATTAGCTCTCCGGGACAGAACCCGTGACGTTCGAAAAAGGCAATCATCATCATCCACCGGTGGTACAGTAAGATGTTCTTGAAGTGTCCCGAGTTGATGATGGCATCGACATGCATCTCTGCGTATTCCTGGTACAGTGCCTTTTGCCGGTCTGCCTGTGTGTAGCTGTCAAGGTCGTCGGCCGGGAATAGCTTGTACTGCTGCAACACCTCTAGCTGCTCCTTAAATGCCAAATCCCAAGTCCACCCAATCGTTTCAATGATCCTTCGCCAATGCACAATCTCATGAAAAGCTCCATGATCACTGTACTTTTTCTCCAGCAGGGCTAACAAAAAGTCGTCAACATCGGAGGCACGCTCGGCCAAGTAGATGAAGTAGGCCATGTGAAAGGCCCGGCCGATATCACCTGGTCGGTCGCTTGTACTAGTAATGATCTTAACTGCGAGCTCTTGCCACTACCGCCCTGAACAGGGCATCTTGCTTGTCTGGATCAAGAGCCCCGTTCATTCTGGCACACAACCTCGCAGAGGCGGCACCATTAGGAACTTCTCCATTCTATCCAAGTCTTTCTGCATCAGGAAAATGACTTCCATGGTTCCAGAGTGCCTAAGCAAGACACAATGCCGGAAAGTGAAGGCTTCCCAATATAGCATAAACTTCCTGATCCCGCAATCGACCATCAGCAGTGGCTTGCACATAGCATCGGCATTAATCATGTCCAGCCACTCACGCATTCCTCTGGGTGAAGATGCGATCGCACGAAGCTCTTTGACGAATAAATAGGCAGGACCAATCGCATGTTTAAACTGGCTTTCTAAGTTGTATAGATCCCGTTCAACATCACCTTTGCTATCATAATGGTAATCTGCATCCATCCCAATCATGAAGATGAGAGCCTCCAGGTCCATCGATGGGAGAGTGATCTCATTCTTAGGCGATAAGAGTGGCCAGACAAGTGATATTGTCTTATATACTGCCCGGATACCGGTGGTAACTGAGCTAGCCTTGCGGAGAAATGCATGGAGGGAGCCGGAGGGAGCTGAGCAGGCTTCAGGAATTACGTCGAGAAGCTTAAGGGGATCATCATGAAACTGGTCACGGACATTACCTGGTTTTACAACTATACCTCGCCGCAACTCCCCCTCGAAGTCTGTTTCAAAGTCAGCAACCTTTAAGATGGTTCCATCGTAATACCCGACTTGCCCTAAGTGCTTTCCCACAAAATTGAGTACATCATCACGGTAAGATACGGATTTCCACGTGGACATGCAAGGCTTATGGTCGACTCCAACAGCTTGTTTAAGCACGTGATGCAGATTCTCTGCACACACCCATGCCCAACAAGAAAAAGGAATGGAGAAGGCTTGATGTCTTATCTCTGTCACTTAAGATTCACCCTTCTTTGTCATTTTTTCAAGTGAAAAAACAAACTATGGTTGATATGTTTCACAGAAACATCGGCAGAAACAAGACCGGGGAGCGATCTATTGAAATGCAGTCATGGAACTGTCAGTAAGTGCGTGAGGCCAGGTCAAAAAGATCTGAGCTTGGTGTCTTGTCTCCATTGCCCTTCTTTGCCATGTTTTAAACCACCAGTTCACTCTAAGCAACGTAGGGCTCTTACCGGTTTTTTACCCAGTAAGAGCTTTCCAATTCGGGCCCAAGCTGGTAGTGAATGTGGTAGGCCACTATGAAAAGGGCCAGTTGGAGGCTTGCTAGCCTTGGAAAGTATCTTCATCAACTTACGTTTGTGTGAAATGTTGGTTGAAAGCAAACAAACAAACTACAGTTCTCCCCGGCTCTGGGTCTCGTCTTGCCGATCTTTACAATTCCGAATTGGCAGAACAAGACCGGTGCGCGATCCATCGCAACTTCTAAGTTGCGATAAGTCATGGAACTGAGCACCCGAGGCCAGCTCCCACGTAGCATGCAGATTCTTCTGGCCATTGATTTTGGGGTTGAATGGTCGGAAATAAAGAATGCACAGCATTTAAGTGGGCCCTCGTTCCCAGTTGAATATCATTTGGATGCATTGGGTAGAGCGGAGAGACCAAGGATCATTATAACACAACAATACTGTCTCATCCGAAAAGAACGCCCAGGTCACATGCAAGGCCCAATTTGCCTGGATGGCTTTCCAGCGAAATGGCACCCGAGTACATCCCGCCTGACGCAGCTGCATGCACGGTGGGTCTTAGAAAAATGGCTGGGAAACGTACTGGTGGTTTAAAGTTTAAACAACAGACGAGCGCAGAGGCACGCAGAGCACGAAGGAAGGATCCCAAGTACTGGTGGTTTAATGGGCCGCTTGACAATGTATGTCATGTCACTAGTAGTGGGACTTGGCCCCCAGAAGCTGCGGCCACGCACAGTGAACGCTTTGGGGACCCCGCATACACAGCCTCTTTTAAGCTGTTGACTCCACCGTTGTCACACTGCCTTCGCTGCCTGCTTCTCTTCCCAGATCTGAGAATCCACCACTCCTGTATGGACACTTCAGGGAACAACCACCCCTAACCTAAGCCATGGCGGTAGGTTTTTTTTTGCATCACTGTCTGGTGGTCCATCTTCTTAGTCTTCTTTTTTTTATCATTTCAAAACAGATTCAAGGCTGGGAAGTCACAAAGGGTGACTCATGGGTACCAATCAACGTGAGAAAAAGTAGTTCCTTTTCCCTTTTCTTGGCGAGAATCTCCAATATGCCCCTCATGGATGCATTGCTTTGTATGATGCCCCTCCAACAGTAGGCTTACACTCGCATGCCCCTCCAACCGGAAATCTTTCTGCTGCTGGAGGGCAGGGGAACTTTGTGGCATGCCCGGTACTGGTATGGGTCAATTGCATGTTCCCATCCAAGCTCCCATGGTCTTATGTAGGGGGGCATTCATGAAAGTTGCACTCGTACCCGTAGGGGCATACTGAAACGATGTCAGGCCCAAGCTATGTCATCTTGCAACATTGAACCGCTGTAAGAGAGGGCCATGTAATCGTAAGCCAGCCATTTGAGGGGCAGAACGCAAATAAATGCATGTTTGAGAGGCATAACCGTCTTTTTTGGATGATTTGGACCATCTATCCATTGACCCATGCCATCCTTGCTCTCGGGGGATGCTGATCTTCTCTATATCGTTCCAATCTTAAACCACCAGTACTTGGCCCAGCTATCGGCCGCGGAAAAAAATACAGTAGAAACGTTTCTAGTCTGATGAATTTGGGCGCTCATGTAGTAGCCCGTACGTTTCCTAAAATCGTGGCCCGTTAACGGGCACGACTCTAGGAAGTACTGGTGGTTAAGCCACCAGTACTTCCAAGGCACTTTTCTCCAGGGCTGGAAACGCGCTGCACGCCGAAAGAAGACAAAGTGCCGCCGGCCTGCTTTTGGCAGGTGCCACCAGCCATTTTGGTCCGGAGGGTGAGCCCCGAAAGTTGTGTCGCGGACTGAAAAACAAATAGCCGGACGAAGTACTGGTGGTTAAACAGATGTCCCGAAGGACTGGGTTTCAGCCTTGAGATGTCATCTTTGTAACTGACCGGCCCCAGATAAATTCAGAGTTATTAACTTATAACTTATAAGTAATTACTCATCTGATTACAGGGGATTCAAACTCAGACCTACATTTCAGCAGCTCATGGGTGCACAAACTGAGTTAGGACCGTCGGTACTGGTTTTCAGTTTTCGCTGGCGCCTGGAGCCAAGAAGGGGTGTTCGGTGAGCATGTAATTGACGAGTGTGTGAAACCCAAAAACGGCCTGCTGAGCCAAAAATAGCCTGCTTGCCTGGTACGCAATGACAGGGACTTGGCAAGCGCGTCAACGGCAGGTGGGGTTTGGGCGCGAACCAGCCTGCAGCTGCAGTGAAACCTGCAAATCCTGACATGAGCGGGCTGAAAATTCTGCTGCCTCTAATGGAGTGAACTAAGACAGCGTGTTTTCTGAAGCTTGTGTGCAGCAGAAGATCGCCCAGATGGAACTGCCTTATGACGACCATCTACTTCCACTGTCGGAGGGCGCGGTGTACCAGGCCCACGAAAAGTGTGGCCTGTTTCTGGACGGGCCCCAGTTTGCAACCCCTGTGGCAAAAGGGTGGGAGTGCGCCACTGGTTCCCTTTGATCCACGCAGATGCAGCCCTGCTGTACAGCAGAGCATATCTGGCCCGTGCTAGTGCTAGCCAGGGAGTGGACCCAGGGATGAGACAGTGGCAGACTCTGCACTGCTTTTCTACCGCGTGCCGAGTGTCAGACAGCTGAGTTATGGGATATGCAGTGACAGTGGTCACAATCAGATAAAAAAGAAAAAGAAGAGACGACATGGTTGCATCCCTGCCGACCGCCGACCGTATTGCAGCCTACCAGTAGGGCCGACCGGTCGGCGGTCTGCCGACCAGTCAGAAAACAACCATCCACTAATTTTTTTTCAGATCTGAGTTGGAAGCTGTACTGTGCTTGCTGAGTACAGCCCAAATCC